TTGAGAGACTGCCACACACTGCCCTTTTCTGATGACTGTTTCAGAGCCCATTTGCTGAAGAATGGAATTAGGGAGGTAGAAGACATCAGTACGTCAATGTAAAGTTTAGCTTATGGTTTAAAGACAAATTCTCCTTTAGAAGAAGAAATGTTGTTCTTTCCTCCCCACCTTGTTTGAATTCTTATCTCCCTCTTTCACTGTGAAGTTTTGTGCTGTTTACCAATTGCTCTTAAATGTATCGATTTATCCTGAATACCTTATATTTATATTTCTTTCTGCTCCAAACTGTTCTCAAGTCCAGTTGCTTTTCTGTGCCTAAAGCCTGTATGCCATCACCGTTGCGCTACAGCTTTTTGCTGTTTTTATTCTCCTGCTTTCTAAATTCTTGCACGTGTTTGGCTGTTGCATATCTTATGCTACTTCTTCAATTTTGATGCTCTGATGGTCTTTCCTTCAGTAGGTTCAGTCTCCTCCCAGCTCTTTCAGCTCAGATATCTGTCACTGAATGACTTTACTCACATGATTTTAACTTTTTGCAAGTTACTTATAAATCAGTCTTTCCAGTCTTGGATAATTTCTCCACCAACATCTTAGCTTGGTTTTTTGTATTTGTTCTGCAACCCTATCACAAAGGAAAATGCAATATGGCTAGAGCTCTCTGGAGGGCAAGCTGTGCCAGGTGAGTTCGGGGCACGTTACTGATGAAGTTACTTTTCTTCTCTGTGCCAGCCTCAGTGGAAGATACTGTCACCACAGCAAAGCAGAGAGGTGGAAAAATGTCTCAGTCTCACCTGATGGAGTTCAGGTTGAACTGCCAGAGAAGGTGGCCAGTGCTAATGATCCAAGCTGTGGACTGGGACAGCAGAGTTATGGGCCATTTTGTTCCGTTTTGCTGACTCTGCTGCCAGGGCAGTAATCTACTCCATAGGCATGGTAACCAGCAGCTGGGTTGGCAGTGCTGCAGTCTGCTGCAGCTGTTGGTTTTCTTAGAGGGTTAGTCTGAGTCTCTTCAAATTTTACGCCAATCACCTTAGCTATTAATTATTTAATTTTAATTTTTTTAATATACTGTAAAGAAAGAGACTGCTTTTGTTTCTGTGTCTGTTCTATCTTATTTATTTAAATTACTGTTTCTTAAACTGTTTTTCTAGACTACTAAATGCAAAAAAAGGTAAAGCTTAAATTGACTTTTTTTTAAAATAATGAGATTTTTAAAACATAAGGAGCTGTGTTCAGGAATCAGGTGCTACTTGGGTATTTTTACTCTTACAGATCTCAAAATATAAACAAGCAAAAATAATAATTTTTTTTAATTGTTTTAGAGGAAAAAAATGTAGTCAGTGTAGTTAAATGATACGTGTTTTTCAAAACATAGAACTATTTTCATTAATAACCTCAATTTATATAAACTTTTAAAGTTTTGGAACAGTTTAAGAAAAAGATGTTTGAGTGTTTCCAATGTTAGATTTTCTTTGTGCAATTGGATAGTGTAAAATTTCAATTTATAAACTGTGAAATGATCAGTGATAGCTTTAATATGAAAAAGACAGCACTAGTTGTTAGACATTTCAGAGGTCTGATGAAAGTATTCATTTCCGGGTAGATCATGTCTAAGAATTTAGCTGAACATCAATATTTATATTTAGGTAGTACAGGAGTTTGAATCATACCTTCCTTCATGTTCTAAATACAGACCATGTTTACATTAGTGAATCATAAGCCTAGAACTTAGAGCAGAAATAAAATCTTCCTCCAGAGGTGCTTAAATATACATGACCCAAATCTTGCATCATACATGCATAGTTCTGAAGAGATGTTTATTTGAAAACAAAACCAAAAAATTAAAAAAAAAAAAAATCTGCACCTCTTGCAGTTTCTTGTAATACATAAAAATTTGTATAATGGAAATGAGTAAGTTTATCACTTATGTACAAAAAGAGAACATTATTACCTTTACATTGCCTTGTGCATTTACCATAAATAAATATACTGTAAATCTTGTTCATTATAGGATCCAAGTTTTATTTCTTGGCACTTGTAATTTGCTTGCTATTAGAATAGTTCCAACCTTTTATGTAAAACTCTATTCTAATACGTAAGGGTTTTTTTTGACTAGGCGTACATTATATTAATTACACAATACAAAGAAGCTGCTAAAGTAGTGTCCCGATACTCTATGAACATGGTCACTTCTTCATGCATTCAGAACATATGGAAATTCTTTTAAGGACAGGCTCTGATCACTTCTAGTTGAATACATGAAGTGAAATCAAAATGGTTTTATTAGTTCTATTTGCAGGTTAATAATTACTCAATGTCTATGCTGCTGACTATTTCAAGAGCAACAGCAGTGGATAGAGAGCAACATGTTAAACAAAACAATGATGGGAAGACAATCAGGAAAGAGATCTCCACATGTTCAGTACAGCATAAACAAGTTTGTTATGACAGAAGCTGTTCTTGAAGCTTGTCTGAGAAAAGACACAATTTCTGTCATTCATACTCTTACCTAAAATATGCACCTTTGCACCGAGTTAAAGTAGTACTAGAGTTTGGGGAAAAGATCTTGTGTTGAAAACTGTAGTACACTTTGGTTTAATGTGCTTTTTGGGAGGAGGAGGGAAGGGTTTGATAAGTTCCAATTGTGAGTGAAGCAAAGCGTCGTAAATACCAGACATTGGTCGGTGTTGGTTATAATACATGGGCTGCATTGGTTTGTGTGCGGTGTCCAGGAGCCTCATCTGGCAATCAGAGTGGGGAAGTATCTTATTAACTCTGGTCACATAATTCAGTGTAATAGTGGACAGAATGTGTTCTGCAGTTTTCACTGTCAAGGGTAGATTCTTTTGAACATGTTTTAAGTTACTGCCATTTACTCTGGAAGTGGTGCTTTAGATTATTTTCATCTGTTTTCTCTATCTGCCTGATTGTTTTTAAACTGCAATATAGAACCTCATTAAATTGAACCAGTCCATGAATGTGCCCTAGCTTTATGTGGAAAAATGTAATTGCAGAAGACTAGTCATAGAAGTCTTAACTGTAAGTGGCCTGAAGTAAAAGCAAACAATACTTTTGTTTTAGTGTATCTTTGATATTTCACATACATCATTAGAAGTCTGCTTGTGATTTCATGGCTTTTTACATATGTAGTGCTTCATAATACACATTTCCAGGAGGAACCATAATTGTTAGTCTGAGGTTTTTAACCCGGATCTGAACTAAAACTAATCTTTGGAGGGAGGGATCTGGTAATTTCTGATGGTAAATTATACAAAATCATAACTATGTCTTAGGAAGAAAACCAGAAATAACCAGTGTGTTGAAATGTTTTTATCAAGTTGTACAATAGACATAAACTATTAAGAGAATAGCAAATTCTCATGAAGCAGGCATGATCTTCCTCTGTATTTATTTTGTTGAAGACCTAACTTCAAATTTAAACTTCAGATTTTCAAGATTACCATACACTTTTTGCTTTCTGCTCTTGACATGATAGTTTGTAGCATTGCTTGGAAATTGTTTTCTGTTGTTATCCATTCAGGAGAAAATACCTGGAAGTACGATGCATTTTAAAAAGATTTGTGTTATCCTTGAGAACTTACAGTTTCTGGTAATTTGTATACTCAGTCTAATGTTACCTGCCTTTTATTTAGTATCAGGTAAACTGGCATCAGAGAAATGTAGCCATTTTCTGGTTTTCTTCATTAAAGAGTTTCTTCTTCAGCATTATTGTAATTGTTATAATAGATTCATTATCGCAGTCATTGATATGATACTTTAAAGGTGCCTACAGGGTTAATGTATTCTGCTTTATCCTACACTTCTTGCTATTTTCCAAAACACTTTATTTTTATTGTAGAGAAGGTTATAAATTTGCAAAGTACTTCTGATAATCAAACCATCATTTTGTAATATTGAATCCCTGAGGAAAAAAAATATCACATCAAAATGTAAAATATTCAACTATTTAGAGGCAAGAAGCAACTGAAAACAGTTAGAATTATCCATATGGGTGTTGCTCTTATTCTTGCTATAATGCATAGGTCTTGCAACAAAAGTGAAAGTGTTACTTAACCATTTTTCACCAGTTTAAAAGTTTTTACAAATAATGAAGACTTTTCAAAATAGAGAACTTTTGAGTTGTTTCTAGAAAGAGCTGTGAAATTTAGATTACAGCTGAGATTTATTTTAGAGCCTTGAAATGAACTTTCTAACTTCCTTTGATTTTCAAGATCTTTTAATTTCTGCAAGTCCATAAATTATTATATTTTCAAAATGGAACCTTTTCTCAGGCTTTGTTAGGCTTTACTTAGAAAAATCTGTTGTTTATGCTATTCATGAGCTAGAGAAGCAACAGAGAAAGAAAGGAGGCAAGACATACCCGATGGTGGTCAATATACACCTGCCTGAACTAGATTGTTTCAGCAATATGTTCCTCAACCTCAGTCATGAATTCCATAAGAAATTACAAAATCCCTAGCATAATTTGGAGCCCGTATGAAAGGGGTCCAGTAACCAGGTAAGCTTCCACAGCTCATCTGGTGGGGATGGTTGGGCAACACCTTGATGTCATGCATCTCATGCTTGAACAGAAGTATCTGAAGATGCTTATTTTGCTTATTTGCTTCATAGGACTGCTCACTGTATCAAAGAAATTTGTTATCTAGTACAAGTAGAAAGATGTTCTTGCTTTAGGAGACTTGGGTATTATCCTCTTCATAATTCTTGTAATTTCAAGCTAATGTGCAAAACACCTGGTATTTTTGTGCATGAAGACACTGTTCCGTGTCCACAATTGACTAGATGCATACTTTGTGTATATGATAACACATACTTTATGGAGTTGTTTCATCAGTTTGATGCGTGTTAAAGTTGTATACAAGAATTATATTCAGTCTACATACATCATGCTTGTAGATCATGTATGAACAATGTCTTCTGCTTTGTCTTTCATAAACTTTTCCTATGCCAAACAATATCCTGACTGTTACTGTTCCCAGGCTTTGCTCTCTGTACATGATACTGTTGCTCAGAAGAGCTACGATCCTGTCTTGCCCCCCATGCCTGACGATATTGATGAAGAAGAAGATTCAGTTAAAATAATCAGGCTTGTCAAAAACAGGGAACCACTGGTAAGTAACCCTGTCTTTTGTTCCCCACACACAGGGTGGGGAGTGTTCAGATGAACATGTTGGGTGACATGAACGTGAAATGTGGGTAGAGGGACATTACGTGTGTTTATCCGTAACGTTCAGTAGTACACTTGTGACCTCCATTCGCAGTCATTATTTGTGAAGCATATGAAAGGAATAATAAGAATTTATTCATTCATGGTGTTTGAGCATTATACACATGGGCCAGTCTGAGCATTTAGATGAATAATGTATTCATCTTTTATCTTGAATTCAGATCATGAACTTGTTCTAAAATGAGAGCGGGAGAATGAATCCCCAAAGAAATCTTGACCTTTGTTGTGAACTGTGCCTGTTAACATTCATGTTAAAATATGTGACCTTTCGATACACTGAAAAGAAAGCATAAAAACATATTTTTAAATGCTTGAATTGAAATCTGGGCAAATTTAAGATGTCTGTTGTTGTACTTTGGATTATGAATACTAGAAAGTTAATATCTTCATGGGGATATCTGGAAAAATGAAAGGACTAAACGTAGGTTGTATTACAAGAATATTAAAATGCTTTACTGATTTGGTTATTTTTATTTGCTGTAGAGTGGGAGTCATATTGTATAAAATTTAACTATATTATTTTTCTCCCACAAACCAGTAAGAGCTTTGTTTTATGTTATACTGGATATTTGTTTTAATGGATAGCAATCCTGAAGAAATACCTGCAAAGTTACTTTGAGAAGGCTGTGATTTTGTGCTGGAGATGACCGTGGGAGAGTGATGCCTCTGTTAGAGCTTGTCCCACAGTACATATCTTCGTATCACTCTTTTCTTGCTGGATTTCTGGCATCAACAGACAAGAAATAAGTTTTGGTATTGACTGACTGTTGGTGCTGATGGGCATAATTATAAGTTTGACCATATGGAAAGTTTTTATGTAGTTTTAACATTTTAATTTTTTTTTTCTCCCAAAATTGTGACTTTAAGCTTTCTTTTTTTTTTTTTTTTTTTAAAATCAAAGAAAGTCTTTAAATAAAAAAACAAACTTGCTTTAGGATTTCGTATCAGAAAGAGTATTAATTTTGAAATGTGTGAAAAAATTTGAAAATATAGTATGGATTGAGCTCTAACTGAGCAGCTTATTTTAAGTGTTAATGAAAACACTTGTTTTTGCTTCGTAAAATCTTAATTTATATAGTTTCATGTTTCAGACTTGATTTGCCATGAAGACTTTTGTGAGTTAAATACTGTAAGTTAATAGTATCTCAAAATGGATTGGATAAATGGCAACTTTGGAAACAAACCTGGGATATTTTCTGAAAACTTACATGAGTTTATATATATTGTATATTAACTTTTGAGATTTTAAGCCCTCTTAAAGGGACAAATAGAGTTACCTTACCTGAAGGTTATCCTCGGACTGTTCCTCAAATTCCACTCTGTCCCATTCACACTGGTGGGATACTGAGCTCTTCCAGATACCCGTGTGTCTGTTTTGGTTTAGCCCCAGCTGGCAGCTCAGCTCCATGCAGGCAGGCACTCGATTCCCTCAGTGGGATGGGGGAGAGAATCAGAAGGATGAAAGTGAGAAAACTCATGGGTTGATACCAAGACAGTTTAATGGGTAAAGGAAAAGCTGCATGTGCAAACAAAGCAAAACAAGGAATTCATTCACTACTTCCATCAGCAGGCAGGTGTTCAGCCATCTCCAGAAAAGCAGTTCTCCATCACACATGACTGTTACTTGGCAAGACAAAAACTGTTGCTCCAAACATCCCTCCTTCCTCTTTTTTCCCCCAGCTTTATATGCTGAGCGCGACATCTATGGTATGGAACATCCCTTTGGTCAGTTGGGGTCAGGTGTCCCCGCTGTGTGTCCTCCCAGCTTCACTGGTGGGGTGGGGTGAGAAGGCGAGAAGGCCTTGATTCTGTGTAAGCACTGCTCAGCAGGAACGAAAACATCCTTGTGTTATCAACACTGTTTTCATCACAAATCTAAAACATAGCACCTTAAGAACTACCATGAGGAAAAGTAACTCTATCCCAGCCAAAACCAGGACAGTCTCTTAAAAGGTGTATCTGTACTTAGCACAACTCTTGCGCCAAGGAGATAACAGAAAATTTTATTATTTTCTTTTACTAGACAGGAAGACAGCCATAGAAAATAATGGAAAAAAAGTGAGAGAATTCTGTTCTCCATTTTAAGACTGCTTAGTTTATTTACCAAGGTGAAAACAGCCTTATAATGGAATCTGTGATAGACCTGTTAACAAGAAGAGGATGAGGGCAGGAGCTCATTGAAACCCACAAATACTTGAGACTGAGGAACTCACAAGGACAATAAAGTAAAACTTTTCTCAGCAGTGAAAGATGCTAAACCACAAGTTTTAAAACACAAGATGCTAAAGCACAATGGCTACAAGTTGAAGCCCTGGGAGGTTCAGATGAGAATTAACAGTATTTCATTAGGTGGGAAGTCCAGCACTGGAGCAGACTAACCAGAGATGTGCAATCTCCCACCTACACCATCGAGTGATGGCTTACCTGATCTGGCATTGACAGTAGTCCTGCTCTGAGCAGAAGACTGGAACCAGCTTCCCAGAGATGCTGTGGAGTCTTTCAGAAGCCCTGGACACAATCCTGGGCAACCTGCTGTAGTTGAACCTGTTTGGACAGGGGGTTGGACTAGATAATCTCCAGAAGTCCCTTCCAACCGCTACCACTCTCTGATTCTGTCCTGAATGGCTTCCAAAAGCTGCCCTTTAACTAACATTTCTAAGGTTGTACCTTATCTGTATGGAAAAGGAGTATTTGTGGTCTTTGCAAATACACAGCCTTTCTTGATGTTTAATGTTAGTTGGAGAAGAACTTATGATGAGTTCTGTTTTGCATGTTGCTTGTTCTCGAGGAGGACTTTGAAAAACAGTATGTAGTGCCCTCCTCCTCTTCTATAGCCTACCTTCGTTCCATTTTAACATTATTAATGTTAACTTCAGGCTTTTTTTTTTTTTGTGGATTAATAGTGACTTATTCTGACGTCATCACCACAGTACATAAAAAACCTGTTATTTGTATCTTTGTATTTAGATTTTTTTTTCCGCTCCCTTACGTAGGGATGAGAAGAAACATGAATAGTAATTCTGATAATGTCTTAGCAAAATATGGCATGGCAGAATAAATAAAGATAGGTTTATATTACGCATATTAGATCTACTGCATTTATGCTTCCTGAAGTTATTTTCCTAAAGAAAAGATATGCCATGACCTATGTTTACTGAACAATTTAAAATTTTACAATTTCATTTTCTATTTATTCCATGCCTTTTTAATGGCTTTTCCTTCAGAGCTTGTTCTAAAGTCTTGGATGTTCTTAGTACAGATCAAAGAGTCTCTACTTGTTCAGTTTATTCACTGTTGCCCAGTCAAAAAGTCTGACTTCCACTTGCATCATTATATCAGAATTCTTGCTACTGAGCTTGAGATTTGAGGTACCATGCAGTATTTCTTCTGGGTTGGAGATTGTCTGGTTTCTTGAAGACACTGAGCTGTGAACTTTTCATTCATCTCAGATACATTCTTATTCTCTATTTGTACACAAACAGTAGAGGTGTTTTTTGTTCTGCAAAGCAGTAAGTTTTACATCAACTGCACACCCTGGATGTTCTTGACTTGGATATCTCCTTTAGGGGACTTTCAAAAATCCTCTCTCTTAAGCAAGTCAGGCACTCTCTTAACTTCTTTGGAATGTATCTAGTGACCGTTTTTGTATAAAACTGCACTATGTTTCCTCTTGCATTTGGTTGCTCTTTCCTCCCAGTTAAACACCTCACTGGTGTGTTGAGCCAGTATTAATCACATATTAATGAAGCCTGTGTTCCCAGGAGTAATCATCTCAAAAGAGAGGGAAACACATGGTTTGTGGGAAGGCCTTCTGTTTGCCAGATTTCATGAGTTCAGATGTCTGAACTTTCCTAGAGTTTTTGGAAGAGATGATTTAAACTTTTTGTTAATCCTTCCACAGTGGTGTTCTGTGTGGGTTGGCTTTTTGGTTTTTTTGTGGTTTTTTTTTTTTTTTTTGTGTGTGTGTGGTTTTTGTTTTATTTTGTGTTGGTTGGTTGGGTTTTTTTTCCCCTAAATGCTTTATTGGCAAGTGCCATTCTGGCAGTGTCTCACTCAAGTGAGGTGAAATGATGTTAGTAGGTTTTACTTGAACAAAGTAATTTAGAACATCTCTAAACCCGATGTAAAGAGAAGTAGAAACATCTCTTTTCAAAGACAGTACAAAATTCACCTGGCTATAATTAGGCTTTTTATCAGATTGCTTGGAGGGTTTTTTTCTTATGCTTGCCTCTCCAGGGCTTTATCAGCCACTGACATGTTCTGATTAGCATTCCTGATACCTGATATGTACAACTGTGCTACCAGGAGTTCAGGTCCTGGCCTCTTACTGCCTCCATTTCCCAAATGATATTCCAGGTTTGTTGCAGCTGTTACATGCAGTTACGCTGAACAGGATGCCTCTTCATGTTAAGAGGGTTGCTTCTTCATCACACAGGTTCACTTCACAAAAATTTAGCTATTTGAAAACTAATCTCTATGCTGTGCCTATAGTCAAGAGAAAAATGGGCAGCTTCAGAGAATGAAGCATGCTGTTTATTTAAGATGCCTGCCTTAATGAAAACATGATTCATTCTCTGGAGCTGCCTATTTCTTTTTGTTAATTGTAGGAGGAGCCTAGATACCTAAATTCCACAGCTGAACTTGGGTGAAGTGACTTGTGGTGGCATAAAAGAATTATTTGCATGTTCTGTCCGTGTAGATTCTACAGCTCTTGCTTGCCTCTCACTCTTGAGTACCTGTAGTGGTTCTTATTCGTGATTAATTTTGGTGTAGGGACAACTTGAGTGTGCATCATCTACTTTTGAATAACTCTTCACTATAAGGCAGGTAGCTGATACTTGTATTTTAAATAGAGAATGATTTAAAATAGAGATTGAAGTAATTTTTTGCATTTAACATTCGCGTGTGCTTTTGTTTAACAGAAAGGTATGCAAAGATATTACTAATGTTTCAAATTCTCTTATTAGCAATTTATTTTGCAGGCTAGTCTTTCTTTAAAACTAAATCTTATAATGTTTATGTTCTGGAATTAGCAGGTAATTGGTTGGTCACATATATGAAACACTGAGTGGGGCTCGTCAATCAGTGTTACTGCATTAAAAACAAATTAAAATTAATAAATAATAATAATAAAACCACCACACAAAAAAACAGTGAAAGAACCTAGCTGAAGGGGCTTGTATTATTTTTAGTGCTTTTGCATGGTATACCTTTAAACATTTTCTCAGTCTGATCACCATATGGGTTCCAAACTCCTTATTTTTCCTTTAAAAGTATTTTAAACTGAACTATGCTATTACATCTGTATATGTCTCATTTAGGGTAACTTACACTTTTGGCTAGCAACACTGAAAATATTTTCCAGCTCTCAAGGTCCAGTCTAACCTTCTTCCATTTTTAAAGCTCTAAATGAGGAGCTGCACTGCACATGTAACTGAAAGTACTGGAGCTGAACATCTCATAAGGAGGAATTCTTGCCAGATTATATATACATCATAGTTTAAGCAGGGCTGGCAGCAGTACAAGAGAAGCTGCTCTTTCAGAAAATCAGCTCTTTGAGTTTTCAAAAAGGAATCCACTTGTGTTTGATGATTTCTTTTTTAAGTGTTTTAAATTGGGAGGGAAGGGGAATTTAAGGAACCCCCCTTTTGTCTGTGTACTATAGGTACAGCAAAAAATACATAAACTCAAGTAGTGCTCCTCATGGGCATACCCGTTCACTTCTGAATTGCTGTAGAGGAAGCAGTTGACAGTGAACTAGCTTGGGTTAATTTCCCTGTAAATTGGAACTCGATTTTGTGCTTTGTTTGAAAAATCCAATTTACCTGTTACCTTTATTGGGATATCTTTCAAACTGCATAATCTGTGCCAGGAAAATTCACTTTGTGCTAGTAGTGGTAATTGCATAGAGCATGAAGAGACCATTCCTCTTGGGCAAGAGCTTTATTGTTACTTCCAGATGCTCTCTGGGTCAATACTGTGGTCTTCAGTTGCATACAAGTTTTTTCCAAGGGTCTGTCCAAAAACAGGGTGAAGCACCCACTTTCAGATGTCAGTGCTGGGCTGGAGTAGCTGTGGGTGATCACAGTGGAAGTCTGTCAGCCATCCCTTGCCTTTTGCGTTTGGTGGCATTTAATAGTATTGATTTGTAGATAGAAGGCATAAAGCCTTTCTGTTCAAGTTTTTTTTTTCCCTGATTAATTAAGAGAGCCTCTGTTTTATATGGACAATATACTGGAAATGTCCTGTATTTATCTTTGGTTCTAGCATCCTAATGCTGCTTTTTTTTTTTTTTTTTTTTCCTTTTTCATGGATATATGCAGAAAAAGATCCTTTGTACTTTTAAATAGATGTAATTTTCCAGGTTTTAATAATAAACTTCAAATTAACAGCTGTTGCTGCAAGGCCAGAACTTAATACTGAGATACAGGCTAGAAGCATTAATGCTTTATTTAACAGTATGTAATTCTTTTTGCACTGAAGTCTTAATTGCAAGGTTTTAAAGTGAGACTAACTGCAGCTAAATCTTTATATTTTTGAAACTCTCATTTTTATTTGAAACTGTAATGCAAACAAATGCTTACTGATGTCACTACAGTATAAAGTCCACATAAAAATAAGACTGACAAATTGCAGAATTACTTTGCTTATGGATAGAACTTCATACTAATAAATTTCAGATGTAAAATAAAATGCACAAACAGAGCACATCAATTTTGCTGTGGAGTGCTGGCTACTGTTAAAATCTCAGCCAAAAGAATATGTGGTGACTGTTTAATTTTTTCTCTATTTGCAAAAAAATGCAAATTGCATATAGAAAAATTAAATTTATCTCCTATTTTTTGTCTTAATGTCTTGTGTTTCATTTTAGAGTAAGAGGGAAAGGGAAATAAATTTTTATGGTCAATAAAAATGTTAATCCTAGTAAAATGACACCCCTGTTATTCATATGTATATTTTTCAGCTTTATGTTCCTGAAACAGTTAAAAATTGAAGTAGTGATAAACATGATATTTATGTTTAATCTGAAAAAATACAGAGAAGTAGCTATAAAAGCACTTTAATTATTCAAAGAACTTCATACCTTTGGTACCTTTCTTCAAGCACAACACATTTCTGATGGAAGAAAATTCTAATCACTGTCTTGTACTCAGAAGTGAAGTGATACTGTTCATTTGCTTATCACAAATACAGAAACTTTCAGAAAATTTATGTCTGCCAGAGTCCTAAGCATCTCTGTTAGTTTACAAAGTTAGAGCTGTCACAGATAACTAATTATATTAAAATAGCAAAGTAATTGTGTGTAGGTAAAAAATTATTGGTCAGAAGGTGCTGTTTTCCTGCTGTTTTCTTCAGAATACTGGATCAAACAACCCTTTTGGAGGTGATTGTGCAGTACAACTTGTCTAGCTAAAATTCCCTTTGCTGTTCTGGGGATTCCGCCTTCCAGAGTATGGCCAACATTCCCTGCCCCCCCACCCGGCTCCTTCCCAGCTGCCTGCAAGAGCTGGCACTGCAGGTGAAGCAGCAGCTCTGTGCCTCGTGTCCCTGCCCTTCCCATTCGTCGCTGCTGGAGTTCCTGCTGCTTCCCCATCACCAGCACACCCTGGCAGTTCTGGTTGCAATGGCATTTTTCTCATCCAGACAGCTGTTCACTGGAAATTTAGCTACATGATGTCAGTTTACATAAATGCTTCATGCCTGTCTGAAAACAGTCATGGCCAGCTCAGGACATGTTCCCCTCCTCTGCATTTCTGTCCCGCGGGTATTCCAGGTGAGCCCTGACGTGCAGGGGCACTTCTCAAATTCATGTCTCTGTTGATGGCACTGTAAAGCAAGACTATGATCAGTGAGTGTACAGGCAGTTCTAAGTGTAAAGAGTAACAACTGCAAACTCAGATAAACTTTTTGTACTCATATATAACGTGGCCTGTTTTAAAGTAGAAACAACAACTTACCAGTTTTCAGCAGTAGTTTAGTACAGCTTTAGCAGCAGGCTCAAGTAGGTTATGCTGCTGTTAACACTATGTTGAAAAGTAACCTTTTTCTGTCATTTGTCCTTTTTTTTAAAAACTGGTTGCATACAGAATGTATGAGTTACTTCTGAATGGGAAAGAAGTCATATTTTAAAAGACTGAGAGTAGAGCAACATATTTTGTATATTTTCACAAGCAAGTATAATTTCTAGTTTATTCACATATCAATACGATGTCTGCTTTTCTCAGCTTTACAAAGCAAATGGTTTTTAGTGTAGTGAATTAAAATTATGGTGAGATTAACCAAATAACATTTTTTTTCTTTGTTTCACCCAAGGGAGCTACTATTAAAAGGGATGAACATACTGGCGCAATTGTGGTGGCCAGGATAATGCGTGGAGGAGCTGCAGATAGAAGTGGTAAGATGTTGCTGCTTGGCATTAGCCATTCAATTTCCAGGACTTGGAACATAGATAGAATGGCGGTTTTTGTAGAAATGAAATACATCACTATCACAAACAAAAATATTTGGAGTCTGGACAGTTTTCCAAAGTGATATTTCAATACCAGTAAAAGTATTCATGCTGAATTTTTTCTCACCATTTAGTTGCAGACAGGTATCTTTGAGTTAGCAGGTGCAAGTTGGGGTTTTTTTTAGGTGTATTGTGGTTTGTTTCCAACTGAAAACACCCATTTAGAAATTATAGGATTTGCCAAGATTACAACTTGCTGATGGAGGAACTTGGGTTTGTTACGTTATTTTACGTTAGGATATCAGTTGGGAGTTTCAGCTGGTAATTCTCAAACTACCAGCATATCCTTGACTGCTGTCGTTCAGTTTGGGATGCTCAAAGTCTGCAAGAACTGAATTATACTCTGAAGTGCCTCTTTTCACTGAAGAGAATCTTAGGACAGCTGTTTTACACTTAGCGTAATAGAGTAAATCTATATATATAGTTAAATTAGCAAGCATTTTTGCCACAAATTAGCACTCACAGCCTAAGTGATCTTTGCAGTACTTGCAGCTGTGTAGCAGTAAGAATGTACTATTAGAAAAAGAACTGGCACAGGCATTTTTCAAACATCTGCATAAAATGTCTGGAAAAGTCATAGAGAAACAGCACTACTTTTCAGGAGGAAGGAAGAGAGGTGAGTAAACCAACACATCTTCTCTGTGAGGACAGTAGCTGTCATTGTTAAGCTTTTAAGTTAAAGTGGATGAAGAAGGGAGGAAAAACCTGAATGTTAATGGCATTTTTTGTATAATATATAGCTACAGTTTAGCAACTCCTCTTTGTCTTCTGTAGGTCTTATTCACGTCGGTGATGAGCTAAGGGAAGTCAATGGGATTCCCGTAGATGATAAAAAACCTGAAGAAATAATACACATTTTGGTAAATACCCAACATTTTCAAACTAATTTAGAGGAGTCAGGATAAAGTAATTAGACTTAATGGTTTCTGGTGTATTTCTTAGGAAAAAAGTATATTCTACGATAAAGCCTTTTCTTCCAATACATAATTTACAAACCTCTATCTCCCTTCTCATAAAGAATGATTTTCTGTGCATTACCTAGATATGCAATTGCAGATGACTTATAAGAGTTAATGATGGTAATATGGCTATAAATGTTGCAAAATGTTTCAGACATCAATGTATAATGTACAGTTTTTAAGGCACACCGTGATCTGTTGAATTCAAACTATTTAAAATGTATTCATTAATGATGTGTTAACTCCATGTGAAAATTAATTCATAATACAAAGTACTTGATAGACTGCATAACTAGTATATTAAGATTATATTTTGTATGGATTTGCAGTATATAACCATATATATGATTCTCTTTCCACTCCTCTGAACTATAGTCTCTAAAGCCAGCCTAATTACTCACTTAATGGAGCACTATTGCAGATTAAGTAATTTGGGCTTTTTCAGAAATATTTAAAATTTTTACAGCAAAGAAACCAATTAAAGTCATGACAGCTCTTTATGTTCATGGTGTAGGCATTTCTATATGCGTAAATACCTTGCTGTCCTGCTGA